GGGGGGGGGGGGGTGTTAAATTTCTCTGGAGTCCAGACTATGGGTTCAAATACCGACTAGGATTTAAATAGCTAAAAGTTTCATGCCTGATTGTGACCTCCTTCCATTAAATGACTTTATTGCTTTAATACGCTTTCCAGTGGATAGGTTTCTGAATCATAGAACAGCATCACAATTGTCCCTTTTGGTGACAATCTCAGCAAGGAGACCTGGTACTGTATTTGCTTTGAGAAAGCAAACTTACACACACACACACACACACACACACACACACACACACACACACACACACACACACACACACACACACACACACACACACTTCAAATTTATATCCTCTAAAATTTTCAACATTTAGCTTTAACTACAAGGATTTTTTCAAAACATTTTAGTTTAGTAAGACTCAAACACTCTTTAAGGCCCCTTGAAGAACCAGAAAAAAATATAAAATGAACAGTTGTTTAAAATATATATGCATTAGGAAGAAAAAGTCAAATTCTGCAGAACCTTGTGGATATGTATAATTATACCCTCATGTGAATACTTCTATGATGTTCATTTTGGCTGCTCAGGTAAATAAAATTGTATATGTGGTAAAATGCCTGTGTTTGCAGAACTGGGGTTTTGCTACTTTGCATTCAAGAGTGAAGAAAACTGATAGGCTGGAGATATTTATATGAATGAAGAATCTCAACTAAGAGCAGATATTCTTACTAAATTGGATCAGAACAATTTCAATTACACAATGATAATTTTGTAATTACATATTATTGTTAACTGATACTACTGCATTTTTGCATGGCAGGAAAAGTGCAAAGTTATTAATATTCAGAGATGATTTAATTAGTTATTTCCTAATCCTGCAACAAACTCCATGGGGGTAGAGTCCTACACTAATGCAGAAACTTCTTAACGTTGATGGGTTTTTATGCGAATTCTGCCTACATGGTGTTTGTTGATGCATCAAGACTTAAGCAGGAAAAAATGGCTCATTCTTAATTGCATCTGTCCTATGTTTAATTAATAGCAACATCTACCTTGAAGGATAATATAGGTTTATTTTCCTGCTTGCTCTGTAGAACCAAAACATCTAACAAAAAGCAATATTACATTCTATGCTGTTTCAAGCATCATCAGGCAAACTGTCAGTTAAGTATTGCTGACACTTTTTTTTATTCTAAGGACCAGACAATACTACATGTGAATAGATTTTTAGATTTTATGTTGAATTTGCAGTTCTTGGAAGTCGGAATATCCATTTTATTTGTAAATGGAGTAAAGTGGATTGAAACATAACTGAGGGACCCAACAAAACTTCAGGCCATCATCAGCCTTGAGAAAAAAAATGACTGAAAGTCACTGATTATTTAACTGGACCACAAAAAAAATACGATATTAGACCTCTCTGCTAGCTCACTGATAGCAGAACATGATCAATTGATTTGGCATCACATGCAAAAGTGACAAAGAAAGGAACTGCTCATCTGAAAAACTGTAGCTCAGAGAAGAAATGAGAATTTAATTTGTAAGGTAACTTATGAGTTGCTTTTCATGCTAAAAGCCAAGATTACTGAGTCATATTAAATTTGAGTACCCAGGATAGAAGAGCAAATCATCTGTAATTAGTCCATCATTCCAAAGATTTGGCTGCCCCTTCTTGCAACAAACCTAAAAGATTTAACTTTTCCTCACAGGCATGTAAGATTCTTTGGATAAGTGTGATATCTTTTATTAGACCAACTGTAATACTTGGAAAAACTGTTTTTTGCAAGCTTTTGGGTACAAACACCCTTCTTCTGAAGAGGAAGACATTGTTCTGAAGAAGGGCATTTGTACTCAAAAGCCTGCAATGAACTAGTTTTACAAGTACTTAGTTGGTCTAACAAAAGATATCACATCTCCCTAAAGAACCTTGTCTTCCTACGTCCTTAGACCAACACAGCTACAATTTTTTCCTTACACACACGTTGACCCCAACTGTTCAACGATCATAAACCAGGCCCCTCAATACTTTCTTTCAAAAGCCAAGGCACCAGGCAAATAAAAAAGGATTTCTCTATTTGAACCCTTCTGGGTTCATATTCCAGCTTTTTGCTGTCATTTTTTAAAATTAAACCCAGGTGCTGGAAACTGGAAGACCTGGGGCTTAAAAAAACACCCTAAAACACTAAGTAGGAATCTGGATAAACTGGCAAGAATTGGTACCAGGTTAAGAGTGGGTGCTGGCCCTGTCGATGGATCAGCACCTCACTAGCAGGGGGTTCTAGCACCGATGGGTGGCGGGAGTTGGGTGCTGGCTTCCTGCTGGGCGGGTGCGTCTGGCATCCGAGGTGAACCCTCAATGGAGCCTTGAGCCTGTCCAGGCCCAGGGAGGAGCCCCACAGCAGCATGGCGAGATGGAAAAATGGCACCCACTGCCACCTCCTTGCTGAAGTGACCTATGGCCTGTGGGGTTGCCTGCGCCTGGGTTTGAATTACACTCCCACCCTTGGCAGCCCCTACCATTGCTGCTCAGAAAGGTGTGGGGTGGCTGGGGGCTCTCGTCTCTTATGCGGGGGGCGAGGCTCTCATCTGTATCCCCCAAATTTGAAACCCTGCCTCCAGCCTCTCCTCGGGCCTGGCTGCCCCTAGACCCCGCTGCGGTCCCGGCCGGGTTTCAAGCGTCCCCAGAATGGGAAGCGCGGGGGGGGGGTGCCTTCCACTAACAACCCTGCTCCCCTCAGGCCCCGGGCCCGTGTCGAGGTCAGGCTTAGGCGCGGGGCACGGGCCACCCGCTCAGAGCGAGGGGGGAAAAAGAAGCAACACTATCCCCTCAACCCACCCCACCCTGACCTGCGCCCGCGCCGCTGTCCTCCTGAGCCCCGCCCCGCCGGCCGGAGCCTCACAGGCCCCACCCCCCGCTTGGTAGCAAACCGCGTCACTCGCGTGGACCCCGACTGCAGTTCCCAGAACCTAACGGGCTCGGAGGCCTCGCCCACGGGGAAGGCGCGCCTCCGGGCCTCCTGCCGATTAGCCGGTAGCCGTGTCAATCAGAGGGATCCTGCAAAGCGATTGGCTGCCTGTGGGAAGGGGGCGGGCCCCCGGCGAAGGGGCGTTTGGTCTGTGTGTGTGGCGGAGCAGGGGCCGCCTCCCCCTCGCGGAGCCGTTGGGCCGCCCGCGCCCCGGCCGCCGGCAGCGCCATGGGGCTGCGGAGGAAGAACAAGAGCCCGGCCGTGCTGAGCCATGAGTTCGTCACGCAGAACCACGCGGACGCCGTGTCCTGCCTGGCTATGGGCCTCCTGCTGGGGCTCATGTTCGAGGTACGGAGCCGGGCTACGCCTCTCGCCTCCCTTCCCCGCGCCGGGGCCCGGCTGTGCTCCCTGCCTCGCCCCGTGGATCCCGCCTGGTGCAGGCGCTGGGACACGCCCCCGCCTCCCTTCACCCCTGCCCGCAGCCCCTGCCCTGCCCACTCCGTCCTCCCCTCCCTTCCCGGCGGCCCTCGCGTTCCCAGCGGCCTCCTCCCCCTCCCACCCCCCGAAGCAAATCTGCTCCCTCTGTGAGCTTTGTTTGTGCTTGATTCTTTTCTGCTAGTCATACCACAAGTGGAGGCTCCTGGCAGGCCCCGGTGGCATAGCCAGCTTGTTTCGACTTGCAAGGAGCTGGGTCGGGTCGATACGGTGGCTGAAAGGCCGTTCGGACTTGGATGGTGCTGGTCCTCCGTGGCTGTCGTTGGCTTAGCCTCACCAAGCACGGGCTGAAACCTGAAGAAAAAGACACCAGGACTGATGTAACCTTAGACCAGTGGTTCCCAACCTTTCTAGACCGCGGACTGTGTAAAAAGGGGTTGGCTGCTGGTCCACAGTATGCCGGTCTGCTGTCACTTCCAGTCCACGGTGTAAAAAGGTTGGGAACCAGTGGTCTAAGGTTACATCCATACGGGCATCTCTTTCTTCAGGTTTCATCCCACACTTGGTGAGGCTAAGCTGGCAACGGCCACGGACAACCTGCAGTATAAAAACGGGTTGGCTTTTATACTCGGTATAAAAAGGGATTGGCTGCCAGTCCACAGTATGCCAGTCATGTCCAGATTTCCAGTCCAGCAGCCAACCCTTTGCAGCCCAGTTCCTGGCTGCGGCCTGGGGGTTGGGAACCTCTGCCTTGGGCCCGTCTCCACGTTGCGACTATCTAGTGTCTGAAGTTCTCTTCACAACGTTGTGGTTGCTCAAATAGTCATGGGACCCTTTCATCAGCTGCTTCTTTTAGTGTCTTGATTGCCCTCTTTTTGGTCTGTTCTCCTTTGGGACAAAATTGTCATGTCATGATGCTGCATGGTATCTTGTGCCAATCTCCATCACTGCCTTTCTCTAAAGCTGGAAGGGACTGCTGGATGAATAGGGAGGTGGCTGGCCTTGCATTTGTGGGAGTTTATGGTGGTAAGATGGGAGTCGTTTTTCTGGGGTGTTTCCAAGAATGTGTTGGGAGGGAGGCAGGGCTTTCGAAGATGGAACTGCTTGAAATTTCACACTGGTTGTTAATGGCTTGTTGAATCCCCTCAACAGTGTCCCCCCTCACTTGAATGAAATTTAATATAAAAGGCTCTGCACTCCCGAGCCTAAAATAAAGGCTTTTAAATACTTGCTTGAGAGTATGTGGTTGTAAGTGTTAATTCTATGTTCAGTCCTCTTTACTACTCCTGTAGATGTCAGTTATTTTGTAGAAATAAGGTAGAGAGTGGAGTCCTGATAATGAAATAGCTTGTCCCCGGATGAGTAACTGATGCTACAGTACTATGTTCTGCTGTATCAGAATCTGTGCAAAATGAAATAGTTAATGCAGAACTTGAGGGCTAGGGCACAAAGTTCAAATGTGGTAGAACAGCATTAACTAGAGGAGGCCTAGCAATGATACCTCTTCATTATTCTATGAAAATTAGTTGGCTTTTTTTATTTAAAACCCTGAAGGAGGAAAAATAAATGTTATTGGTTAAATTGAGAATTCTACAGAGAAAAGTCTTAACATATACAGTCTTTCATTTAGCTTAAGTTCCGTACCTTTTAAAGAGACTGGCTTGCTTTTTGGCTGCTCACAGCAGAAAAAGAAAGAAAAAAGTTTGCAAACATAATTTTACTTATTCTCATTTAAGGCCTTGTATGAAGACAAGTTAAACTGCTTTAAACACCACTGTAGTTAGTATGGTACAGCCTGTGTAGTGTGAGCACAATGGCAGCTTATTCCTGGTTAAATTGCAGTTGTAGGACTTGTCAGCATGACTGGAACCTAGAGGATGAATGCTGCCACTACTTAGCCCTCCAGCCCCCCTTGCCCACTGGTGGCTTTGGAGGCTTAGATCACTGCTAACAGCTAAAATCAGCAGCAGGGGAAAAGGATGGGGTGTTAGAAGTGGTGGCATTCAGCCTTTGGGGTCTGGAGCTCTATCTGCACAGCATCTCTAGCAGCTATGCTGCCAAGCTGCTGCCCCTGTACCGAAGGTGGGTTGTTTAGCTTGTGGGGCCAGTAAGTTAAGCACCTTGAATCACAAGAAGAATAAGCTATGAGAACTTTTCCACCAAGATATTTGCATCCATGCTAGGGATTGTTGTGGTATAACTTCATCTGCAAAATATCTTAGCCTTAATCAGTGTGATTCTGAAAGTTCAAAAACTATGCAGATGAAGCCTAATGTACCTTGTCATGTGATGACCATAAGGCATGATACGTATTCACCCCAGTTGCATTAACTAACTTTTATTTCTTGACATGTCCTACTTTTTGATACAAAACGTGTCTGCACCTAGCACTGCTGTCCACTGAAAAGTTACAAAACTGGAAAAGTATAGCGGTTCTAAGTAGTACATGTTAAACAATATTGCAACCATTGAAACATATTGTTATGCTTTAAGGGCTCATAAAAACTTGTTTTAAGTCAGTTGGTTCTTTTTTTTAAGAACTACCTATGAAAATTCAATGGGAAACTTAAAATTTATCAGTGTAAGTATTTATGTATGTATGTACATAACCCCCATGGTAATGGTCACAGATTATCAGCAGTTTGTTTATATTCTGAAGGTTCTAATAATTCCTTAAACAACTAGCAACTTGATAGTGGAATTCTGATTCTTTCACTTCATTTAAGCCAAACTGAGAAACCAGAAATCTGTTGGTTCTTGGTGACCATGAATGCTGTCACAAGTTCCTGTATAGAATCTGGCCGCCTTTTCAAATTAACTTTGCATCTCAGTGACATGAAAGGTCTCCTGCAGGGCTTAGATAAGGGTCACTTGGTTATTGTCACATTGGGACATGGGCTGAGAGCCTGGAGCCACTTGAGAATTGAGGCATTGTCCCAGGTCAGGGTGGGTGTGTAGAACCCAGGGAACAAACCAGATCAGGGGGCTCAGTGGTCAATTGGAGAATAGAATCTGAAGGTATACCAAGTCAAGGGCACCAGAGGAGTAGATGGAGTGTAAGGTTACCAACAAGCTGAGTAAAGAGGCTAGGAGATCTAGTCCAAAGCAGAGTGTAGGAGTAATCTAGAGCAGCGGTCTCCAAAGTGGGGTGCGCAAGACGATCCATTGGGGTCCGGGAAGAAAATATTAGAACTTCTATTTCTATTTATTTTTTATCTAAAAAAAAATAAGAAAGAAATTAAGTTTTACTAATATTTAATATATGGATTGACATTGGCGCCCTCACTCAGTCTGTATGTCAGACAGCCACGTGTCACATACGGTACGTGAGTAGTACATATATATAATTTATAAATAAATAAATATACATATATTAGGGGTGCATGCTCAAAAAATTTTTACTAATAGGGGTGCACAATCAAAAAAGTTTGGAGACCACTGATCTAGAGGTTATAGCAAAGCAATCATGAATCAGGCAAAGCTTTGTTGCCCAGACATTTCCTGCTTCTGTTTGGGGGTTTACATATGTGAAATGGAAGGTCAGCTGACCCCAGTTGGCCACTCCAGTGCCAGGGAGCGGGTGGAGGGTTAGGCCCTGCTAGAGGCTTCAGGCCAGCCTTGAGCAGACTGGAGGTCAGCCGTAGGGTAACAGGCTGAGGCCCTAGGTTCAGGCCTGTGGCCTGACAGTTATTCTGTTTGTTTGTTTTTTTTCCCTACACCTTAGTAATTTTTTGTGACTTGATTTTTTTCAAAATCACTGAAGGAAATGAGGATCAGCTCTTACAAGTAAGGAAATCCAAAATGCAATATTTCATTGTAAATTAAATTAAGCTTCTAGCATTTATAGGCTTGAGGATATCTTCTGCATATAAACAGAGTATAAAATGGTAGTATCATCTTCCTGAGTCTGCATATTAACGGATTAGTGTGTCTGTTGATACTCAGAGTTTGTTAGGCAACTGAAGTATAAAATGAACAAAACTACCTCTATTCATTTTCAGGAAATTCTCTTATTATGACTGCTTATCATTGATATATCACTGCATAGGTGAGCTTGGAAATTCTTTTTTGCAACTATTTCCTTTTCGTGTCTCTAAATTATAGGAATATTCAGGTGTCACAAAAAGATCTGAAGTCTTCATTATCTTCTATGAAGTCAAGATAAAATGACTGAAGTCTAAAAACTGCAGCAACAATAAAAACGCTACGCACTACACAATAAACCACTTCTAACCAGTAGTTTCGTAGTTGTTAGGGGCTGGAAGTGACCTTACAGATCATCAGGTCAAGCCCTCCTGCACTTGAGCAGGAAAGACTGCTGGGATTAGATGACCCCAGCAAGATGGGCGTCAAGATGCTTTATGAAGATCGCCAGGGTGGATGACTGAACCACCTCTGGGGGGGAGCCTGTTCCTCGGCACTCTAGAGGCCAGGTCATACGAGGAGAGGCTGAAAGACATGGGACTGTTCAGCCTGGAGAAAAGACTCAGGGGGGACTTTGTGGTAGCCTGTAAGTATATCAAGGGTGCGCATCAGGACCTGGGGAAACATCTGTTCACCAAGGCCGCCCAGGGGAGGACTAGAATGGACACAAGCTGACTGAAGATTGCTTCAGGCTAGACATAAGGAAAAACTTCTTTACAGGTTGAGTGCTGAGATGGATGAATTAGATCAATTTGCACCTCTGATTTCTTACATTGCTTTCCTTAAAGAAAAATAGTTGCTACAAAAATACAGTATGTCTGCTGGCCTGCACATTCTCAAGGAATTTCTTATTAAACTGCACATACAAATAATGGTATGTTAGGCAGCTTAATTGTTTGTTGCAATAGTAAAAGGCTCATTTGTTTTGTGCCTCATAAAAATGTATATTTACCTTCGTAATTGATTAATATAACTATTCAAAATGTGAA